AGGCGCCCCGCCCGCAGCAAGTGGAGCAGCAGCTGCAGGAGGAGCTGGTCCAGCACGGCGGGGCCCGGGGGCAGGAGGTGAAGCAGCCCCCGCGGGGCCCTCGCGCACCGCACCGCTGGCACCAGGGAATGAGCTCCCCGGGCCAGGGACGTGGTGTCAGTATGTCGGGCGGTCTGTGCTACCAGGAGGCCGAAGGTCTGTGGGAAGTCTGCATCCACCTGTAGGAGCTCTGCTGGCTCTACCTGGACCCAAGCGCTGTAGCAGGGGCACATGGTGGAGCTGGTGGTGCTGCAGCAGGTCCCGGCTGTCTTGCTCATGCGGACCTGGGCCCAGGGGCACAGCATGGAGACCTGTGCCGAGGTGGTGACCCTGGCCGCGGGGTTACAGTTGGGGCAGTTGGAGGCTGAGAAGTTGCATGCATGAGAGTTTCACTAAGATCATTGATGCTGCCACCCCTGGCTCCACATGCCTGGGGGAGGTTACCTGCCGCCAGGTCTGTCCCGCTCCCAGCTTCCCGGTGACATGTCCCTCTCATCTCCAGGTCACAGTGAAAGTGAAGGTCAAGGAGGGGACTTCAGACAGGATGCAGCCCCCCGGGGTGCTGGAGGAGCCTGGTGATTCCTGGCCAGACCAGCCATGGGCCCAACCTGCAAATGTGTCTCTGGAAGAAGGAGCACAGAGGAACAGCCCAGGACCTCCAGAGAAGCCTGCACCAGACCCAGAGTCGGGTGAGGGGCCAGGTGCCAGCTGGAGTATGGGCTTGTGTGTCACATTGCCTGTTCTTCATCTCCCTCGTCTCCCACACGCTGAAGGCTCTGGCTCCCTGAGTCACTGGCCCATACAGGAGAGGAGCAGGGCTTTCCCCTGCTAGCAGCACCAGGCCTGACCTGTGCCTTGTCTTCCCCCTGCAGGTGCAGGGGCCCTGGGCAGAGCTCAGCAGCAGCCTCCTGAAGAAGGGCCTGCAAACCTGGAGCTGCTGAGGACTTCCCCAGGGATACCGGGGGAGAGGGGCGCCCTGAGCCCTGAGCGGGGCCAGCTGCAGAAGGAGCAGGGCAGGCTGGCAAGGCAGGGGGAGAGCACGGAGGTGAGCAGGGCACCAGCTCCAGCTGGGGGTGGGGGAGACAGGAAGAGCAGCTGGGGCCATGCCTGGGAGGAGCCAGGGGCGCTCCCAAGTGTTTAGGGAGCGCAAATTGCTGAGGAGCAACAAGCCTCTGGTGATGGGGGCTGCAACTGCACCCAGCTAACGTTTGCCAGAGCTCGCTCCCCAGTGCCAATAGCTGGGGTGGTGGCACGGGAAGGCCTGGCCACAGTTGTGGAGCCCAGGCCACTGGCTCTAAAGGCGTTGCCTCGGCTGCCTCAAACAGCCAAGCACATAAAACATGATGAGCCAGGCCAGGGCAGACACGTGCACCCCTAAGTTCATGGCTGCACCCATATCCGGTGTCAGTGAATAAGGGGGGATTTTGCACCCGTGGGTGTCATGGCCCACCCTACAGAGAGCTATCGCGCAGAGGGATCCTGGAGGCAGCTGGAACAGGAGACACTAATGGGGAAACGCTTGTGCCTGCAGCTCCGGGAGGCCTTTGAGGACGTGGCTGTGTACTTCACACGGGAGGAGTGGGGGCTGCTGGAGGATGCACAGAAGGGGCTGTACCGGGACCAGATGCTGAGGAACTGCCGAGCCCTCATTTTCCTGGGTAAAGCTCTTTCCTGCTTCTCCCTGCAGCCATGTCAGTGCTGATGCTTATTGTCTTCTCCCTGCTTCTCTGCACTCTCGTCCTAGCAAACTTTTCCCCAAGGTTTGAAATAGACATTCTCCCCATAGCTGTGTGGTGAAAGCCTGTTGTCATTTCTAGATGTTGTTCTGGCTTGTGGGCAGGGCTGAGGGATTTCCGTGAGGTCACCTTGATTTTCTAGTGCTTTCTTATTCCTCCAGTTGTCCAGAAGAACTTCCATAGGGAAGGGATCCAAGGTTTCTCTAGCTGAGCAAAGACCATGTTGACCACTTCTTCATTATTATAAGTCTCTCTTTCTGTTGTCCATATCCAGGACATTTGTTTCCCATATCCTGGGATTTTTGTTTCCAACCCTGCAGAATATGCCACATATCTGTGCGCACATTTTCTCCTTCTGGAATTATCCTCCCTCTGGATGGGATGATTGCTTTCATATTCATTGCAGTTCTTATAACATCTTCCCTTCCTCTACCCTGTTGGGGAATGGCCCTCCCTCCCAAAGAGAAGTGTCATGGTCAGCCATCTGTCCTGGATTCTGTTCCCTGCTGCCAGGCCTTGCTTGAAACCTTCCCAGAGAAGAAATTCACTCCCATTCTTTTCCCTGGAATGACTCTGAGAAGACAGATGTTATCCAGCCACCAGTGTATCCAGCCTCTCTTTGTTTTGGTGCCTTGTAAACAGTGAAAACTTTGTCTTTCTGGTCTCTACCACATCGCAGGTCACTGCACGTCCAACAGAGTTCCCAGGGATGGGAGTGGTCTCACACCCATTTTATACCTCGGAGTGGTTGGTGCTTTGTTTCCTATGACCATCCCCCCCATCACCTAGGTGACTAAGGCCATCGCCTATCCAAAGTTTCTCCCTGTAGTGCCTTTTCTTTCATGCTAATCATCCAACCTCCCTTGTCCTTCAAGCCCCAGTAGAAAACTTGAGTTCACTGGATCCATGCCCCAAGTCCTGGTTGATTATTCTGCACCCAGTATCCAGTTACAAACCCTGTTTAACTACTGCCCCAAACAGGATATCGAGGTCCCGCACCTGACTTAATCCACCGCATGCAGCGTGGACAGGAGGAGCTCTGGGTCAGTGATGATGAGGACTGTGGGGACATCTCAAGGTCGGAGGGCCTGTTGCCAGGTGAGTTGTGGTGGTCCCTTCCCCTGACCTCCCTCTTGGACATGCTCCATGCCCAGACTGATGGACCTACCCTGCCCTGGACCTACCCTACCCTGCAGACCTGCCTTGAGCTGCCCTTCCAGGTGCTGACCTCAAATAGCTTCTGCTGTCATGTGTCCAGGCAGGTGTTGTTTCCGTGCACTGAAATTCCAAACTGTGGAGATGAGTAGCCATTCCCCCCCTTCTCACCCTAACTACAGCAGTTAGGGGACGGGCAAGTTTGCTGTCTTGATATTTAGGCACAGGTCTTGTTTTCCTGGGATACCATGGTCTTAAATTTCCACCTTCAGTGAACAGATTCCCTAGCCCAAGGGAGCCATGCCTTTGTAACACCCTCTCCCAAGGCATGATGGAATTTGTAGTCCCCCATGAAAACCAGCATGATTGGGAGAAGCTGTTTGTAGCCATTATTGTAGAAGAGAGGGACTGAAACCCATTAAATATTGAATCCTAGTCTCGGACTGCATTCAGTGGCTTTGTGGGGTGGGTGAGATTCACAAGCTTTCATGTTACTAACACAAATGTCTTGCGTGGGTTTCTCCAAGCGGGGTCTGAGGGGATGGGACTGACAGCTGGGGGAGAAACCCTGACAGTCTTGCTCTGACATCAGCTGAACGCGGAACATTAGCCCGACACAGGGATGTGCCCCTCCTCACCCTGAGCACTTGGGGTTTGGCAGGAAGAGCTTGTTCTGTTAAGGGAACACAAGTGCCAAGGTCCAGTCATGCTCACAGCCCCATCGCAACAGAGGGAATAGCAGCATTTGGCCTGTGCCAGCAGGACAGGGACTAACCTGGACTTTCTCTTCCCCACGCAGGAGGTGCCTGGATGCTGAGCAGAGAAGAGGAGCAGAGTCCTGAGGAAGGGGCTGCAAACCTGGAGCAAGCCTGGACTTTGCCAGGGTGTTTTGCTGAGATGGAGTTTTTTAGACATGAGGAAGACCAATGGCTTAAGAGTCAGGGGAGGCCCCAACAGCAGAGGAAGAATGTAGCAGTGAAGGAGGCACCATCTCCCCTTGGGCATGAGAATGGAGAAGAGACAGAAGCCAGAGACAGCCCCGGGTGCAGGGAAAGATTTGTGGAGCTGAAGAACCACGAGGCAAAGTTGCACTGGAGAGAGACCCTGCATCTGAGCCGAGCCAGTGGGGAGGTATTTCGTGGGAAGCAGGAGCTCCCCGCCAAGCCCAGAGGCAAAGCCCACCCCTATCCTGAGTACCAGAAAAGCTTTAACTGTCCCTCACTCCTGGCTCTGCACAAGAGAAGCCATGCTGGGGAGAAGCCCCACCTGTGCACCAAGTGCGGGAAGAGCTTCACCTGCCTCTCGACCCTGGCTGCTCACCGCAAAATCCATTGCGGAGAGCTCCCCCACCATTTCACCAGATGGCGGAAGACCTTTTCATGTCCCTCAGACCTAGGCAAGCACCAACATGTGCACAGGGGAAATCATCAGTACCACTGTGTCACATGTGGGAAGACCTTCACCCGTTTTTTCTCCCTGGCTCAGCACCGGCGCATCCACACAGGGGAGAAGCCATACCAGTGCTCTGAGTGTGGGAAGAGGTTCAGCGTGTCCTCCAGCCTGACCAAACATCAGCGCATCCACACAGGGGAGAAGCCACATCAGTGCTCTCAGTGTGGGAAGAGCTTCACCCAGTTCTCCAGCCTGGCCTATCACCAGCGTATCCACACAGGGGAGAAGTCACATCAGTGCTCTCAGTGTGGGAAGACCTTCCGTGGATCCTCCAGCCTGACCAGACACCAGCGTGTCCACATAAAGGAGAAGCGACATCATTGCTCTGTGTGTGGAAAGAGCTTTAACAACTCATTTAGCCTGGCTAATCATCAGCGCATCCACACAGGGGAGAGGCCACATCAGTGCTTTGTGTGTGGGAAGAGCTACACCCAGTCCTCCCACTTGGCCCAGCACGAGCGCCTCCACACAGCAGAGAAGCTACATCAGTGCTCTGAGTGTGAGAAGAGCTTCATTGACTCCTTCAGCCTGGCCCGGCACCAGCGCATCCACACAGGGGACAAGCCACATCAGTGCTCTGAGTGTGGGAAGAGCTTCCGTGAATCCTTCAGCCTGACCAAACACCTGCGCATCCACACAGGGGAGAAACCACACCAGTGCTCTGTGTGTGGGAAGAGCTTCACCCACTCCTCCAGCCTGGCCTATCACCAGCGTATCCACACAGGGGAAAAGTCACATCAGTGCTCTGTGTGTGGGAAGAGCTTCCGTGGATCCTCCAGCCTGACCAGACACCAGCGCGTCCACACAGGGGAGAAGCCATATCATTGCTCTGTGTGTGGGAAGAGCTTCACCCACTCCTTTAGCCTGGCTAATCATCAGCGCATCCACACAGGGGAGAGACCACATCAGTGCTCTGAGTGTGGGAAGAGCTTCACCCAATCCTTCAGCCTTGCTAATCATCAGCGCATCCACACGGGGGAGAGGCCGCATCAGTGCTCTGAGTGTGGGAAGAGCTTTACTCAGTCCTCCAGCCTGACCAATCACCAGCGCATCCACACGGGGGAGAGGCCGCATCAGTGCTCTGAGTGTGGGAAGAGCTTCACCCAAGCTTCTAGCTTAGCTTCGCATCAGCGTATCCACACAGGCGAGAAGCCACATCAGTGCTCTGTGTGTGGGATGAGCTATGCCCAGTCTTCCAACCTGGCCCGGCACCAGCGCAAACACACATGGGAGAAACCATATCAGTGCTGTGAGTGTGGGAAAAGATTCTGTGAATCCTCCAGCCTGGATAGACACCAGCGCCTCCACACAGAGGAGAAGCCACATTGCTGCTGTGTGTGTGGGAAGATCTTTACAAGATCCAGCCACCTGGTCATACACCAGCATATCCACAATGGTGAGAAGCAACATCGGTGCTCTGTGTGTGAGATTAGCTTCCACAACGACTCCACCCTGGCAAAACACCAGCACATCCACAGCCAGGAGCATCCATAATTCTACCAGCAGTGCAAGGAAAATTTGAGGGTGCCTGTCTGTTCACCTCCTGCTGTATGCTGCTTTCAGGCAATCAGCCTGAGTGCAGAAAGATTTCATGGAGCTTTCAGCCCTGGTAGGGCAACAAATACTCAAAGGACCTAGAGGCTGGTCTGCAAGGTATGACTGGACAGAAGAACTAAGTGGAAATACCTCTGACAGAGGCCAGGCCAGATGCTGGGGGATCGTGTGAGGAGACAAACTTTGTATCAGCCTTGGACTATGTGCCCTCCTCATCTTTCTCCTAAAAGCAGCCAGTGCTTCCCAATACGGTGCCCTCCCAAAGACACCTGGCTCCAAATTTCCCGAGGGCCTATCCTCGGCCCTCCCATGCCCAGCAGGGTCTGCAAGATGCTGATGCTGCCACCTCCTCAGCCCGGCTTGGCAGGTTTTGCTTCTCAGCTTCTCCACAGAACTCTGGACCCCTGGCTGCCTGCTGTTCCCCTGCCCTCCATGACACTTGCTGTAATGCCATCTCTGTTCAGAAAGCCCCAGCACTGAATGCAGTATCCCTGTGGCTGTGTTCAGTGCCCTCTCTGGAGCTTTGAGATGGGAACCAAATAGGGCTGAGAACTCTTTCCAGGGCAGATCTCCCTGTGACTTCCAAGCCACTTCCCTTTGCTGAGGATTCATTATGGTAGAGGGGTTGTTGCAAACCCTCAGGTGCAGGAGGGATTCGCTTCCATGTACTGCTGTGCAAGGACCCTGCCCTTTGGAAGGAACCTGTGGCCAGGGGCCAGTAGAGTGCCGTTTTTGGGGGAAGGAGGTGCAGCCTGTGGCAGGTTCTGCCTCTCCTGTGGAGGGTTTGAGGACATCATCTGGGTGAAACGCAGCGTGTTGTCACCTCTGGGGAGTGTTCCTTGATCGCTAGTGTCCCAATACACCATGTCTTGTGCAAAGGAACTTCTTTTGTCTTCTCTTGTACTTGTCCAGATAAAATACGTAGTGCCAGAGACATCCTGGGTGTAACACCCTGGGATCCTGTGGTAGCTCTGGCAGCACTGCCATCTGCCATCGCCCCAAACAGCCCTGGGTGGAAGTAGGGAGACATGTCCCTCTGGGGCACTGGGACAATTGGTAAGGCAGACTGGAGGTTGCAGGCACAACACTCAGCCCCTGCTCATCAGACCAGGAGCCACCCAGAGCTCCAGCTGCCTGTCTCTTCACTAGAAAGAGACACAGGACCCAGTGTAGGGCAGACGCACATGGGCGTGATTACACACTAGACTCGCATGTCCCCTCTCTCCTGGTCTAGGGAAACTTGCTGCCTCTCTTGTCTTGCGCCAAACACCCTCCAGGTTTTCCATGGACCTCAGCATCCCTCTGTAGCTGGGTTCACAGGGCTGGATTGCCTGTGGGGAACAACACCTCCAAAGCTTTCTGGAAGGAAATGCCTGAGTGTGAGGCATACGGCCTTGACATGCCAGTGGTTTGGGGTGACGTGAGTGTAGCTGTGCCTGTTCTGCTCAGGGTCGTTCTAGGCTTTGCTGGCTGCCACATGGAGCTGGGTGGGAATCCCACATGCCAACCCACTTCTGCTACATGTGTCAGGGGCTGTCCTGTTTTTAAGCCTTTCTCTGAGGCATTGGGTGTGTGGGCACTGGGCTGTGCTGAGCCTTTCTGGATAGGCGGGGACAGGCCTCTACATAAGAATAGTAGCAGTTATGATGACTACTGCTGTCACTGCTGCTGTTATTATGATTGGTCATACTATTTATTCCAGTAATATAAATAGCAATAATACTCCTCTTGCTATAATTAGTGCTCTAATGATAACAGCTTTGCTAGCAGTAATGCCAAGAGTAGTGGTAATGTTGTTATTCTTACTACTATTGCTTTTTCTATTATTGTAATATCCCCATTCGCACTACTATTGCTATTAATATTGCTACTACTCTGGGTATTATTATTGCTACTATTATTTCTATTACTATTCTATTACGGAGGATACATCAGACTACCAGACCAAACGGCGCCCACAACTACAGCCCAGCCCAGACCGACAAGCGTAGCAGATAAACAGGTAA